AATTTATTATATAAAGGTCTTTCTTTAGCCTGCTGCAAAGAAGTCGCTTTTCTTTTGTTTTTTAGTAGGTGGCTTCTTAGCCTCTTGGATCCCTGCTTTATACAAAGCCTTATAACACCTTTTTATTTTCTGATAGATATTTAATCATGCTTGCTACCCTCAGTTTCAGTCCTTGTTAGCAACAATTTCGGTAGCATTTGCTCAGATTTCCCTGGGGCTCAGTGGTGATTGGTCTCGGAATGTATGTGGGGAGGGGCCCTCTAGGTTGGGGTTGGGAGGTACGGCTCAGCCAAAGCTTTGCAACTGCAGTAGGTAAAAATCAACTGTTGTTTCCCTGCCGTCTTGTCCTGCTTCTCTGCTTTCTGCCCTGATGACTGGGCCCTGCTGCCAGCTGTGTGGAATTCACAACTCTCCCAGGAAGGGCTATTCAGGGAAGTCTCTGCACCTTCTCCCCTCCCCCTTCTACAGGGAGCTCCAGCTGTTGCAAGAGTCAGATTCTTTATTTCTCCCAGTCCACCACCCGACACCCAGGGTTCTAACTTGTGGTAGCTCATATGCGCAGATTCCACGCTCAGACATGCTGGTGTGCAGTTGGGTGTTTTTTCTTGAGGTTTAGATGTTCAGCTTATGGTTGTTTCAAGGGGATAGAGATCTGGGGATGGCTCTCATGCCACCATGTATCCAAAATCTATGTCTTAGCATTTTTTAAATGTCATTTTATTGTATTGTTACCATTGTTTCTGATAAAAAAAAAAAAAATTAGTGATTAATCTTATTGCCATTACCCTGAAGTTAATGCTTTAATTTTCACTGGTGTCTTTTAAGATTTTCTCTTTGACTGTGGTTTTTAGGACTTTGACTCTGATGTGTCTAGGTATGTTTTTTTTCATATGCCGAATTTTGTAGAACTTAAGACATTTGGTAGAGTCATGTCTTTCGTTAGCTTTGGAAAATTCTTTACCAGTATTCTTCAAATATTACATATGTTTAATTTTCTGTACTTTTGTAACTCAAGTTAGATATGTGTTGGACCTTTTCACCATGTATATATGTCTTTATACTTTTTAACCTTTTATACATACAGTTCTTTAGTTTTTAGTGTATTTAAAGTTCTGCGCAACTATTACCACTATTCAGAATTCTAAAACATTTCCATCACCCCCAAAAGAAACCTAATAATTATTGACAGTCATTCCCAATTCTCCCCTCTGCCCATTCCCTGGCAACAACTAATCAACTTTCTGTCTCTCTGGATTTATCTATTCTATACATTTTATATAAATTGAATTATATAATGTATGGCTTTTTGAATCTGACTTCTTTTACTTAACATAGTGTTTTCAAGGTTTTTCTGTGTTGTAGTATGTATCATGTAGTATGTGTTCGTACTTTATTCTATTATGTGGCTGAATGATAGTCTTCTGAATGGATATACCACATTTTGTTTATCCAATCATTAGTGGTTGGGCATTTTTTTCCCTACTTTTTAACTATTATGATTAATGCTTCTATGAACATTTATGTACAGGTTTTGTGTGAATGTATATATTCAGTTCTCTTGGGTCTATACCAGGAGTGGAATAGTTGGGTCATATGGTAACTCTTTGTATAACTTTTCGAGGAACTGCCAAATTGTTGTCCACAGTGGCTATACTCTTTTACAGTCTTATTAGCATGTATGAGAATTTCATTTCCTCTGCATTCTTGCCAATACTTGATACTTCTGTAGTTTTTTTTAAAATTATTATTACCATCCTAATGAGTGTTGGCCATTTATTCTTGTTTTTTTTTTTTTGGAATGCCTTGTTATTTTCTCTTTAAAATAGCCTCGTTTGATTAGGTACATACTATATTCACACACAGCACCCACTCTAGAAACAGTAGTTTCTGGCTTTTCTTGGAGCCCCCAGAAGCATATAAATTGAGCCTTTGGGAGACAGTTCCTTCCCCAGAGAGAGGAGTAAAAGAGAGAGAGAGGGAGAGAAACCTTTTGATTCCTTGAGGTTTGGCCAGCCTCATCTGTAGTCACATACCTCTCCTTGCCTTAAACCTTGGTTCCAGCTTCCAGGGTCCAGGAAGAGGCCTCAGTCTAGTACAGATCTAAACCAGTCACTCAACATCCATCTTACCTTCTTCTGCAAAGAATCAAGGAAAGCTTGCCACTCTTTTGGGTAAAAATGCTTATAAGCTATTGATCTTATTCTGAATCTGTTTCTGCGTGTCTTAGTAGTAATTCCTCTTGTCTTGGGCCATAGCCTTATAGTACTCCCCATGGTTCTCCTGCACGTAGGTAGCATACCTAGGCTATGAGGTTCCGAGATAGTGCATTTCCTTACTTTTCTGGGAGGCCTTCTACCTCCAGGTCATTCAGCATATCGGGCTTCTGCTAGAGTTCCAGAGGCCTCTCCTCTATGTCCACCTTTCTCTTACTGAGGGGCACTGCCTTGTTGGGGTCCATAGCCAACCCCATCTTGACCAGGTTCTGCCACACTGATTTGGTGTGGTCTCAGGCATGTCATATGTGGAAGCACTTGATCTGTGGCACTGCCTTTGGTCTAGCATTCCGGTTAAGAGCTTCTGGTTAGAATTGTAACCGAACTTCTGCCTCTGCTTCTTCCCTTTGGCCTTGGGCACCAACTGCTCTGAATACCACATGGGCAGCTCAGACTCTGCACTTTGCTCTCCCAGCACCTCATGTAGCCAACTCCTGCATGTTCGTGTGTGGCTTGGCAGGCTTTTTGGGATATGTATTCCTCTCCGTAGTTATACAGTGCTGTTTACTATGACTCACCTTGTAATTTTTAATTGGATGCCAGACATTATGAATGAACAATTAATTATAGGGGCTCTACTTGGTGTTATTTTCCTCCAAAGAATTAAATTTTCCTTCGGTAGGTGAAGCACTGTGAGATCACCTTGAACCTGTTGACAGTTGACCATAAGACTTGTTATAGTTGATCTGTTTCAGTTTTGACCTTACTCTAAGGAGAGGCTTTTCTAAAGTCTCAACAGAGAGCTTGATTTGTTTATGAAAACCTTTCTGACTTGGTGAGACTTATACTCCAGTCTTTGTTTCCCTAGCACTGGGCAGAAGCTAAAATCTCTTCTCAGCTCTTTTGCTTCCTAACTGCTGTTTTCTTGAATTTTCCCCCTCTTAGTGGTTCTTCCTCTCTTGGGCTTTGTTCTTTAGTTTCCAGCTCTCTGGTAGCCAAAAACTCTGTCTTCTCAGTCCAGTAGAACTGCCACTTTATACTTGGACTCTATTTTCCTGTTATATAGGAGAAACGATTTTTATAGTCAAACAAGAGGGTCAAGGTCAGCCATATTTGAAGGGTGATAAATAAAGGATAATTTAAAACTAAGATATATGACACCAAATTGATGTTTGGTAACTTTTTTGAAAACTGAACAAGGTCATTAAATGTTTAAAGAATACAAATTAAAAAATACAAGATAAAAATTAAAAATACAAAATAAATTTAAGATGAGAATTGAAGAGAAGATATTTAATAAAGAGCAATTAATATCTGGATTTAGTGGTGAAGAAATTAAGATTATGAATTTTAAATGGGTGCTATTAAAGTAGAACTTGATTATTTTTGTAAATGTTAGTGATTACTAAAAAGTTGGAGATCTGAGTGTTTACCAGTAATGGTTAAAAAACAATGTATATCTGTTAACTGTGCCAGAGAGGACTGTATCACAATATTTAGATGGTACAGACACAACTAACCAGCCATCTAAAAATATGGGAGAAAATGAATGACCAAAGTTATAGGACTAGACATTATGTTTAGAACATAGAGAAGTAGAGAAGGCAGAAATAGCTATAAAGAGTAATAGTTTCCTGTCCTCCCGCAGGCTTAAAAATGGGGGTTTGGAAAGAAACTAACCATTTGCTTTCTTCACCAAAATATCCCCAAGAAGGGAGCTAGGTGTTGCAGACCACCTTGTATCTGTGTTTTTCCTTTTGCCCTTTTGTGAACTCTCAAGGTTAGTCAGTGATTTTCTTCACACTTTCATTAGGAAATTTGCCAAAGGCATCCTTTTGAGGCAGCTGTCTCTGTACCCTTGGAGGCCATCAGTAATGTTTCCGATCTATAGGAGCAGTCGGTACAAAAATGTTAGGCTGAGCTGAGTTCATGATTTAAAATATTCCTCCACCAAAACCACTTTTTTCCTCCCTCAAACAGTATAAAATATATTACATTTTAGAGCTTCTGGTTCTTTAATTAAATTTTTTGTTATCCTGTCTTTTCAGGTAAAATCCATCATTATTGTGAATATATCCAAATATATTAATAATGAAAGGAGACTTGATTTTTAAAACGTAATTTAAATAACAATGAACACATTAGAAATCCTTATGTAAATGAGAATTCCTTTTGTGTAGAATGTTAAAATTTTAATTTTCATTGTTGAGATTTTATAAGGTAAAATATACTTTTATGATTTTTTTGGTCTAAGGTGGTCAGGTGATATATTCGTGCTAATGATCTTGTGAAGTTTTGGGGGCATATTAAATATGATGTTATTAATAAGTCCATGATTAAAATGCATTAAAAGAAATTGACATGCATTTGTGTTTTTGTTCCTCATTTAATAATATAAGCAACTGTTATACCATATGCAACTTTAATATATTAGTCTAACTATTTATGTTGTTTTACTAAACTGTCTTCTTTCAGCCACCCACACAGAATATGCCTATGGGTCCTGGAGGGATGAATCAGAGCGGCCCTCCCCCACCTCCACGCTCTCACAGCATGCCTTCAGATGGAATGGTAGGTGGGGGTCCTCCTGCACCACACATGCAGAACCAGATGAACGGCCAGATGCCTGGTAAGTTTTTCTCCTCTAAGACATTAACACCAGAGTTGCTTAGCAACTGAAACGACATGGGGGCTCAAGGGATACTAGATTGTTGATGACAAAACTGCTTTGAATGCCCCCGAGTACAAGCTCTCTTAGAGTTTGTTAGCTACAGAGCTACGTGACCTGTATTCAGTGTTTATCAGGCTGCCCTTGGGCTTTGATGTAGCTGACACACAGCATTCCTCTGATGAACAGAACTGGCTAAATTTAGTCTGTCTGAAACGATGCAGTACAGCTGGCTTTAGAAGCTTTTTGGGAAAAAAAGGCATTGTGCCATAGCCTAAGAATTAAAATCTGTTTATAAAAAGGTATTATAACATTTTCTTGAGTTTTGTATTAAAAATGTATTGGTCTCAAACAGTATTGCTGGAAAAACACAGAAAGAAACAGTCTCTAAAGTGCTAGCATATTTAATATTTTCTCATTGATACTACTGGAGCTGAGTACAGGTTTGTATGAATACAAATGTTTGTAACATAATATAAATATGGAAATTGATAGTAAAGCAAAATTAACAGCTGAAAAATATCAGCTTTTTTATGTAATGAGCCATTCCCTTTACTATTTTATCCATTTTAAGTTTAGAGCCACTTAAAATACTATTCAGGCCATTGGATGCTTATTTAGTTACCTTTTGTTGGTTTGAATTTTTAATCTGAAAAGTATCTTTAAACTGCTTTGGTTTTGTGACAGCCACAACCCATACCCATAATTTTTGGTGGGATATTTTCTACATTTAATATGAGAATATTTTTACTTTCTAAAGACAAAGGTTATTTTCATTAACAAAAAGAATTTTACAAATAGCAATAATGAAAGTAGATTAAAATAGTGCAATTTATTTTTTAAATTTGTAATTAGCATCCTTAGGAAAGTGCCATCTTAGCCGATTGTGCTGGTTGGTAGAATTGGTGTCCAAGGACACTGGGTGCAGACAATGAAGCAAAAGAGAGCACAGAGCAAAAGAGGCCAGGTAGCTTGTTTTATAGAAGATTAATGTGTGATTGATCAGGTAGAAGGGCCATGGTGTTGTGGTTATCTTCTGTTTCCTATTAAAACTTGCCGCAATCAATGGCCCACACTGTTATGGAGGTAAGAATAAAGCCATAATTACTCATCAGGTTGTAGTCAGGAGAACTCTTCTTACTGAATCCATATTTAACTCATTAGGATAGTGTTTGTAGAACTAAGAGGATAGTGCTCATGCAAATTAGCAAGTTAGAAGTTTTGTGATTTTTTATTTTTATGGTGATACCTTTAATTAGGATTTTGACTTAACTTCTCCATATAATATTCAAGCCTAAGGCTGAAGAAGCAGTTTAGCAGCAATATAACTATTGTTAACATGACATTTTGGTTTTTTATAAGGCCATTTGGAGTAGTTTATAGTCTTTATGAGCCAGAGATTTTCAACCTAGTTATAACCAGTTATAACATAGGTTGTACAAAATACTGTAGCACTTCCAAAACAATTTATAGAGCGTTAGGTGTAGGAGAGATTGCAAATCCAGCTACATATATTTTCTTTATTTAATAAGTCTCTTATAGCATTCAGCCAACTTTTATGTACACAAATTTATATCTAAGCTTTTTATTTATTATTTTATAGTTCTGTTTATAATATTTTATAATCTAAGTTGCAGAGCTATTTATGTGCTGTTTAATCTTGGTTAGATAACCTCTCAGCCTCTTTTTTAAAAAAATTTAACTGATTTAAAAAAAAAAGGATCAGATTATATATGCCTATGGTACCAAATCAAAAGGTATCCAGCCTCTACCTCTCTAAACACTTGATTCCATTCATTGATGTCTAGTTATTCTTCAACAGATATTCTCTGTATATAAAACATTCTTTTTTCTTTCTTCATATTTTTTTAAAAACGTAGTATACATTAGATAGTATTATATATCATTTTTTTCTCCTCTTAAAGGTATGTCTTGGAGACCATGAGTATATAAAGATGTATTTTGGAGACTACTCTTTCTTTTGGTGATTGTATTACAATCTTTTTATGGATGCCTCTTATTTGGTTACCTTATGGTAGAAATATAGGTTATTTCTGGTCTTTTGGTATTAATTCTACTGTCACAAATATGCCTATAAAACATACATAAGTAAATAATGCACACAATTTTGCATACATACACACATGCTCACAAAAACATGTATATTTATAGGATATATTCCTAGAACTGAAATTGCTGGGTTAAACGTGTATTCATTTTCACCTATGATAGTCATTGCCAAATTGCTGTACATAAAAATAATACTTATTTATATATTCCCTGAACAGTGTATGAAAGTGCTTCTTCATAATACAGTTGGATCAAAACTTTTGATCTTTACAAATCTGAAACATGAAATATGGGCCTCATAATTTTAATTTGCCTTTTTATATTATAAGTGAAGCAAGCAGTCCTCATGTTTTTATGACCTCTTGTAGTTTTTTATGTGAACTGGTCATTCATGTCTTTTGCCTTTTACTGCTGGTGGTCTTTTACTTACATTATATGTTAAGGAACTCGTTTGGTCTGTGATATGTCTTGTAAATAATTTTTCCCAGTTTATTTTTTTATTATTTAATTTTGTTTTTGTTTTTTTTTTTTTTAGTCATCAAATTTTTTATTTTCATATAGTCTAGTTTATCAGTCTTTATGGCTCTGGATTTTCTGGCATACTTAAGAAAGCCCTTCCACTCCAAGATTATTTTAAAAATTTTCCTTTCTGAAATTCTCTCTTATAGTTTCTTTTTTAATGTTTAATATTTTTATTCATCTGGAATTAGTTTTAGTGGCAATAATATGGTAGGGATCCAACTTGTCTTTCCAGATGGCTACTCAGTTGTCACAACACCATTTATTGAATTATCTTTCTTTTGACCACTGATGGTTAATATCACCTCTATTATCATTCACTAAATTATGCATTTGGGTCTGTATTTAGACTCTGGGTTCATTGATCTGTTAATCTATTTATGTGCTAATGCTACACAGTTTTAAATACTCCAGCTTTGTATATTTTGTTGTCTTATAAACTAGTCCTCTCTCATTACTCTTCAAAATGCTCCTGGCTTTTCAAAAGCATTAGTTTCTTTAATCCGTAAAATGTGAATAATAACATTCACCTCACAGTATTTACTATCATTCATGTAAAGGATTTTCTTTGTTTACTATCGATTGAATATTCAAGTTACTGTTTGGTATTACTATTATGGTAATGCAAAAAAAACAAAACAAAACCCTTTTAAGGTATTTCTATATAAATCATCTGTTTTAACTTTTATATTTTGGTTCTGATCACTTTCTTCAAGGGCCTAACCATATGCCTATGCAGGGACCTGGACCCAATCAACTCAATATAACAAACAGTTCCATGAACATGCCTTCAAGTAGCCATGGATCCATGGGCGGTTACAACCATTCCGTGCCATCATCACAGAGCATGCCAGTCCAGAATCAGATGACAATGAGTCAAGGGCAACCAATGGGAAACTATGGCCCCAGACCAAATATGAATATGCAACCAAACCAAGGTAAATAAGCTTTATATTATTCTTGATTAGAATGCTATATCAGCCTTTGAAAATAAAACAAGTTTTCAAGTTGTTAGCTGATGCATAAAAACAGAATTTTGAAATGAGCAACAGTTATACCTATAAAAAAGGAATGTTGAGTTTTAAACCAGCTTAAATAATTTTTTTTTTTTTTTTTTGGTCTACGGCCATGCTACCCTGAACAAGCCCGATCCTGTCTGATCTCAGAAGCTAAGCAGGGTCAGGCCTGGTTAGTACTTGGATGGGAGACCACCTAGGAAGACCGGGCGCTGTAGGCGTAAAAAATAAAAAAATAAAGGATTGTAAGCTGACAAGGGCCTTACAATCTGTGAGGTCAACCAAAGGTTGCCTCACCTAAAAAATTAAAAAAGTAATAATAATAATTTTTTTTTTTACATTTAGAAATTAAATTGCCTTTAATTTAGCTTTTTGAGCTTATTTATTTTTATGATTTTTGGACACTTGGTTTAGAGCAAGTACAACCCCTTACAGAACATCTACTCTGTGGTTCATTTTACTTATTAAGGATAGATTAATTTATATGCATTTCCTTTGATTTATACGTATGTTTTCTGATGCTGTGTTTCACCATTGAAAGGTATGTGTAACATAACTTATTAGAATGTTTAGTTGGAGGTGTTTCTATTTTCTTATATTGGAGTGGTTTGAAGTTTATTACCAACCTCAGAGAATCAAATTATCATGTTTCTCTTTTAAGTATTCTTGTGAATAATATCTAAAAACCAGTAAGTGGCGCTCTATTCTGCTAATTGCCTGTTAAAACATTTGGCAATTTGCCAGCCTAATGCTACTTCAATTATAAAATGTAACATTAAGAGTATAAGATAGATTTAATGTATTTGCAATAAAATTTTCTAGATTTTGTTTATGAAAAAGAAATCACTACAGTGAACCCAGATGAAGTTAATGTTAACCTGTAGGTAATTATTTATGAAATAATATATTCTAAGTTTTAAATCTTAATACAGATATTTTCTGTAATTTTGATGAGATACACTGAAAAAAAGGGAGATAATAGAATAAGTTGTCAGTGAATGTAGCTTCACAAAACTGATGCTTGCTCCATTTTTTTCTCCAGAAGTTTTTTAGTGCCCATGATGGACTATATATATATATATATATTTTTATTAGGTCGATTAAAGATTCAAAACAATAGCAAGATCTAGTCAGTGCTAGATTAAAATGAAGTTCACCGTCTCTCCATATAGTTGATTACAAGGAGAGAATGCAAGAAAATTAATAATTCAAATAGCAACTATAGTAATGATGGCATACTTCTTAGAAACTGTAGTTAAAAGTTAGTGTGTACACAAAAAATGGATGTTGCTACAGCGTAGTTTGATATGACATCATAAGATTTGAAGAAGAAAAAATTAATGCTTGTAGCAATGTGCATATAGAAAATAGTTACTGTTTTTGGAGAAGGAAATTGAGGTATATAGGAAGTTTTCATTCTAAACTTAGGGACCAACTATTTTTTAAAATGTCATATTTTGTACTAATGTATAGGTTTTCCTTTTGCTATAGTAGTTATATTATTTTTTGCTTTGTTCTCATAACTTAAGAATTTTGTAGTAGAAAGCAGACTATACAGAAAAGGACTATGTAGGAATCTGATTTAAAGAAATAAAAGTTACTTTCAAAAGAAACTAGGATAGAAATAAATGAAACTTTTAATGTTTTATAAATATCTTCAGAACAAATAAAAAACTTTCAGTTAAATTTTGACATTTCAGAAACAGAGAATACCAAAGAAAATTAAAATTACCAAGAAGAAGAAGAAGAATAAGAAAATTGTACTGGGTTCTAGCAATAGCCACTTTCTTAATCGTATGAATTTCTTATGAAAATATTTTAATTTATGTACCTATTGGATAAAAAATTTGTTTAGCCTGATGAAAGTTTTAACATTTATAAAACATTTTCTTAGTTTACAAAAACGAGCTACATATTTTATGTTAAAATTTTTCTGTTTTGATAAATAGGCGGAAGAAATTAGACTACATTGTAAATGTAATCCTTAAAAAGCATAGAAAATACCAAAATTTAATAAAAGGAAACACTTTAGACTTTTGAAAATTTCTCTTAACATTTATCGAGATATTATTAGCTGTTCTTTCAGTTAAAAACAAAATATAGATATCTTTTGGTTATCTCCGTATTTCTACATACATATCTCAATGTCAAGAGATAGTAGAAAAAATATTAAAGCTAATTACCATTTTTAATAATGGGAATTTTTATTAGTCAAGGAAAATAAATATTTGTGAGATTTCTTAGATTAAACCTCTATCAAAAAAAAAATGGAATAAGGCTAACCCTGAGAATTTTGTTTTAAAAAATTAAATGATTTCACTCATATGCAGAATCTAAAGAACAAACTCATCAAAAACAGACTCACAAATGTAGTGGACAATTTGGTGATGGACAGAGGGGAGGGGGTTGTAGGGCTGTGAGAATAGGGTGAAGGGTTAAAGAAGTACAAATTATTAGTTAATCACGGGGACGGGGAATACAGAATAGAGAATGCAGTTAGTATTAATACAATGGCTAGGTGGAGGGTCAGAGGAGGGAGGAAGTAATTGAGAGGATTGTTTTATGAACTGTGTAGATGTCTAACAAATGTACTGTATACTTGAAACTAATTTAAATAAATAAATTTTTAAAAGGAACAATTAAATGACAATTATTTAATTATTATATTAATAGTTTTAATTATTTAAGTGACATTTGGGAACTTTAACTGGTGATGTAGTTTTTTAAAAAGCATTGTAGGTCAAAGTCCAAATGCATTTATTCTCTAAATTTTCTTTCTCAACTTTGAAAATAAAATTAAGGGGAAAAAACATAACTCATCTAAAAATCTTATTGTAATTTATGAATCTGAAGTTAATCCTAGGGACGGATATTTCATAGATTTACAGTTTATCACTTTGATTGTTTTTAAAAAGTGAAAAGAGTATTCTCCTTATTTATACTGTTAGTTTCAGTATAATATGGCACATTGTGTATCAGTACACTCATCTCTCTACACTTAAATTGGTAAATCTATCCAATATTGCAGGTTTCTGTTTGTTATAGTTTTAGGGATGTGCAGCTACATTGTAGTTCAGACCAGATGTTTTGTTTATACATTTGATCATTATTGCTATATTAGATGAGTTTTTCAAGTTTGTAATTTTTTTTCCCAGTCATGACTTTTTTTTGGTTATAAAAATAACTAATATTTAATATGAACACGAAAATGCAGAAGAGGATAGAGCATAAAATAAAAAAATCACCTATAATCTTGTTCTATAAATTTTAAATTACTCCGTAGACAAGATCAGTCTACTTATATAAAGTTAAATATCCTATACTTACGCTCTTTGTAGCAGCAGTTTGAGTACATGTAATAATTACGTAATTATTTGTAAGTATCTGTTTAATTATTTTTCACTAGACTTTAAGTTCTGTGAAGTCAGGAATTGTGTCTTGTTTTGTTCATCACTACTTTTTCCTGTTTATTGACTGACAGATTAGCAAGATTTCTTCCTTGCCTTAACAAATTAGAAAACTAGAATCCTTCTCTGTGGTATTGTCACCCATCAGCTGCTATTCCAGGAATTAACCAAAGAAGAAACCGTCAGTTACTGTCAGAAGAGATGATTTTTAGTTATACCAAAACATTTTGTGTTTGGAAGACAAAATCCAGTTGTGTTTCTGTTTAACAGATTATAAACTCAATTTCATTATGATTTATTAAAAAAAATTTTTTAAAATAATTACAGGTTTATAGGAAATTGCAAAGGTAATACAGAGATCCTATGTGTCCTCCCTCCAACCATCTTCAGTGCCTGGCAAGCACTGTTACTCTTCTCTTCATTTCCATAATTTTGTCATTTTCAAAATTTTATATAAACGGAATGATACAGTATGTGACCTTGTCAGATTAGCTTGTTTGAAAATTTATTTATTTTAGTTTCAAGTATACAGTACATTGGTTAGACATCTATACATAAAATGATCCCACAATTGCTCCCTCCCTCCCCTGACCCTCCACCTAGCCACTGTATTAATGCTAACGGCATTCCCTATGACATGCTCCCCATCCCCGTGACCAATCATCAACTACTAATTTGTGCTTCTTTAACCCTTCACCCCATTCTCCCAGCCCCTCCAACCCCTTCCCCTCGGTCCATCACCAAATTGTCCACTACATATGTGAGTCTGTTTTTGATGAGCTTGTTCTTTTTGTTCTTTAGATTCTGCATATAAGTGAAATCTAGTGTTTATCTTTCTCTGTCTAACTTAAATACCTTCTAGGTCCATCAGAGGTCCATCAAAGCAGTGTCTTTTTCCATCTCTTGTAGTCTGTGTGTGTCTTTTAATCTGAAGTGAGTTTCATATGAGCAGCATGAAGGGGTCTTGTTTTCCTTTCCATTCATCCGCTCTTTTAGTTGGAGCACTTAATTCTTTTCCATTTGAGGTACTTATTGATAGGAATGTAGATGTTATCGTTTTTTATTCCTGTTTTCGGTACGTTTTTTCTTCTTAAAGAAGTCCCTCCAACATTTCCTGTAATACTGGCTTGGAGGAGATAAATTCCTTCAGCTTATTTTTGCCTGGGAAGCTCTTTATCTGTCCTTCAACTCTAAATGATAGCTTTGATGGATAAATTATTCTTGGTTGTAGATCTGGGTCTTTATCATGTCAGATATTTTTTGCCAAGCCCTTCTGTCCTGCATAGTTTCTTTTGAGAAATCAGCTGCCAGTCTTATACGTGTTCCCTTATAAGTAACTATCTGTTTTTTTTTCTTGCTGCTTTTAATATTCTTTCTTTGTATTTAAACTTTGTCATTTTAATTATAATGTGTCTTGGTGTGCTCTTCTTTGGTTCCCTTATTTTTGGAATTGTCAGAGCTTTCAGGGGTTTTACGTCCATTTCCTTCACCAGGTTAGGGAAGTTTTCCATCATT